CTCAAATGATAGAAACCAAAAATAATCCAAACCCTACCCTCCATTCACGCCTCTCTTCTCCCAATCTCTTTTAATCTCACCATTTCCGCAGCCACCCACTTACTTCTTCCTTCACGGCCTCTCACTCAAAGTTGTCACTGCCTACCTATACATGTCCTTCTCTACCTTTGCCGACCAGAATACATGTCCTTCTTCGCCCTTGCCATTGTCGTCTCCACACCAAGAAGGCCGTTGCGGTCCTCAAGGGCAACTCCAACGTCGAGGGTGTTGTCACACTGATCTACTTAAGATTTCAACCTGCAAACGTTTGCCAAATCCGATGCCCTCTTCGAATCCTCCATTTTGCCTCAATATACACCAATTCATACCAAATCGAACTCGATGAAGTATAACCAAATCTGTGTAGAGTCATTCGAGAAGCCTCTACGTGAACTGGATTGAGCTGCAAATTCTTCTCCAGTCCATCAATCATTGTTTGCCCGCCAGTATGTATGCATAAATGATCGAAGGCGAGTTTGAAATCAGGTATGTAGGTTTTAATTTTGGGATTGAAAAATTTTCGTGCAATTAGGGTTATAAAAAGAGGAATTGTTCACTGATTGGAAGAACAAGTGGACCTAATGTTGTGATGTTTGCTTTTAATGCCTTTCCTGCAGTTGCCATCAAATCTTTTGATAATGAGACTCCAGTTTTACCCTTTTCCCCTAATCTACTTAAGATTTTTGTGAGTGTTATGCCCTGTCCAATCAACTTTGGACATAAACACTTTGAATATATATATAATCATTGTATATGTATTGTAATATCTATTATTTAATTGAATTAATATTCTAGTAAATTAAATAATAGAATCCGTAGATTCAAGTCTTGGGGATTTGTTAATCACAAGGAGTTGTAATTGTGAGATACAAATTATATATGACTGAATCTTAAATCGTCCGTGGTCGAAATAATAACGAGATATGTATATTGTTATTAAGGATAGACCATTGCGTGTGGCATTC